CATTCTGTGAAGAAGGTAAAATTTACAGCTCAGATCAAGATGAAGCCAAATGTACCTTGAAAAAAAAAATAAACTCCTTAAATCACCCATCAAGTGTAGCATCCACAGTATATGGGCATAGAATTGTAGGGCAAATTCTTATTTGCAGTACTGGGGAATGAACCCAGAAGGCACACTCAGTTACTTTTCCAGCCCTATTTTTAAAATTTTATGTATGTATGTATTTATTTATTTATTTTATTTTACTTTTTTAGTACAGGGTCTACAAGGCCTTATTACACAGATTGGACTCCTAGTGATCCTTCCTGTTTTTCAGCCTCCTAAGCACTGGGATTACAGGTGTGTGCCACCATGCTCAGTGTCAATTCCTGGCTCAGTGAGTCTCAGGGGCCAGGCCGGCACTGCAGGCTAGGGATTGATTGGCGGGCTCCTGCATCTGCCTAAGCAGGTGCTTTAATCTGCTGAGCTATCTGGCCAGCCCCTTAAATTTTATTTTTAGATAGGTTTCACTCAGTTACCCAGGTTGGCCACAAACTTTCCTTCTGTTATTAGAGGTATGTACCAACACCCCCAGCTCCTGAGATAATTTTTTTTTATGTTGAACAAATAATGGTTTTAAAACTTTTTTTAGAGGATACAAAATAGTGTTAGAAAAAAGCAGCATTTGGAAATGATACAAAATTTTGCCAAACAAAGTAATAGGAATTCAACAATGTTTGTTATGTTGCATGGTGTTATCGTCAAATTAGTTGTTCAGGTTACCAGTGCAAGATTGGTTTAAAGAAAAAACAACACAAAATAATCACAAGGAAGTTGTAAGAAATTTTTAAAAAAGAAGAATAAAAAAAAAATAAGCATTAACTGCTTTGTGAGGTAATTCTTATGCACAATGAAGTTTGTGTTCTGCTGGGCTAGGTTCAAGGAAGATGAGGGCTTTTAGCAGAAATGTAGGTCATCAGACCATTTTGCTTCTAGGTGAGTCTAGAGTACAGGGGGGACTGGAGGCTCCCAGTGTGACACTGATTATATGCAGGTACCACACTGTCAGGTTTTGGGCACAAAGACTCCAGGTCTTTTTGGTTAATAGGTTTTACTGTTTTGAGGGAGGATTAAATGACTTCATGTTCGCAGCGGCTTCTATCTAATACAACATCCTGTGTGGAAGCCAAAGATGCTCAATAGGTCTTCTGGGAGTTTGGTCCTGATGGAGCACTGTCAATTTCACAGTTATACAGTATTTGAAAAGCTGTCCAGGAATTCATCCACCTGCTTTTTGTCTTCCTAGGTTGGGGTTCTTGTGGTCTTTTCACAGCAGCCCTGCCTCTTTCCAACCCCTTTTAAAAATCTGACTTCAGATAAATTTTCATGACTTTCTGGGTAATTCTGTAATTTCTGTAATTCTGAATAATTCTGGTACTAGGGAGCCTGAGGCAGGAGGATTGTGAGTTCAGTGTCAGCCTGGAAAACGTTTAGAGACCTTCTCTCAAAAAAAAAAAAAAAAAAAAAAAAAAAAAAAAAAAAAACATGTAGAGTAAAACATGAATATTCGAATATTCAAGTTGCCACAAGATGGCATCAGATCATTTCCAGTTATGCCAGGTAGGGAAATCCTGAGTTCAGTGTATCTTTGGAAGAAAAAGTCAAAATGAGTGCCACTCATCTCATGGTGCTTAGTTATTGCATAAAGATCTCTAATTTCTCCTACTATTCATGTATGTAAACTTGAGGCTCATAGTTATTAAACCCTAACAGTAGTTGTGTAGGGAAATGACTTGAATCTTGTAAATCATTATTTACTAGAATGAACAGTTCATTGTCTCTTGTATTTAACTAATATAATTTCCATTTTACTTTTTTTATTTGGAAGCATTTTCTAATGGGTGACCTTCAGGTATTTTCCAATGCCTCCCTCCCTGATTTTCCATCCATCTATTGTTTCTTAGTCTGACTTACGTTGTCTTGAGCACATCTGACATATTTATTATTTGTTTCTTTCTCCAACTAATGTGTAAAACCTATGAGACTCTCCAATTGTGTCTCATGCTTTCAGGGCCCGGAACAGTATGTGCTGCTGTATGTTCTCAAGACCTTAAGTGAACAATAACTAGAAATTTTCTACCATTATTCAAATACTCTGCCTTAATAAGCATGTATTAAAATTATATATATTATGTATAATCTTTAAGAATTTCACTGACAACTAAGTGAAGTAATCAGAACTTGAAGAATTTTGTCACTATATTTCTCTGGTGATTACATTTCCAACCTCTTTTACAGTTTAGTAATCTTCCTGCAGCCTAGAATATATCTGTAATACTCAATCAGGATGCATTTATGCATCCATAGTGAAAAGAATGGAATGCAGTAACGGGAACCATCTCACTTAGTGTATGCGTTATAATTTACATGTTTGCACATAGGATTCAGCGGCAGGTGTGAGTGTCAGATGTCTCTGTTGTTTCCCAGGCCTAGGGTAGTCTGCAGTCTTCTCTGCTGGGGAACAGGCTATCTAAATTAGATGCTATGTGGCAGTAATTCATCTTCAAAGGGCTGAACTTCAAGAAACCATTCATTACAATTTTGAACACTTCTTCCTAGACCTGAAGTGAATGAATAAATATTTTGAAAGCATTTTTAGAAACTACAGTTCTTAAAAAAAAAAAAAAAAGAAGAAAGAATGAAACTACAGTTCTCATTAGTTACCAGGATTGCAGTTCCCAGGATAGAGGTGTGAGTGACTTTTGCCTGCGTGGAATGGGATGAGGTGTTGAGACAGCTGAAGACTGAGCCTCTACCATCCAAAGCAATTCCCAAGCCATCGAAATCTATTTTTAAAATCATCCACTGATTCAGCAGTTATTGAGTGCTTACCACATGCCAGACTATGGCTGGTTGGTGGACTCCTGGAAATAGATAATATCCCCCCCTCATACAGCAGAAGTTGTTTTTGTTTGTTTTTTTTTTTTTTGGTGGAACCTGGGATTGAATTTAGGCCCTTGCACTTGCCAGGCATGCACTCATTCTGCTGAGCCATCTCCCTGGCCCCATAGAGGAGAAGTTTTAATCTAGTGTCTTTTGGGGCCACAGATATCTTTAAGAATGTGTGAAAGTAGCCAGGAGTGGAGATATGCACCGGTAGCTCCAATTACTTTAGAGGCTGAGGCAAGAGGATTCAAGTTCAAGGCCAATCTGGGCAATTTAATGAGACTGTGTCTCAAAATAAAAAGTAAAAAAAGAGTTGGAGGTGTAGCTCAGTGGTAGAGTGGTTATGTAGCACATGTGCCTTGGGTTCAATCATTACTAGTGCAAACACTAGCACACAACCTCTTCTCCCCACAAAAACCCCAAACTAGGACATGTGGCAGTGCTAGTGATTAGTGCTGGACTCTTTTCCCTGAAAGTCAGTCAGTCAGTCAGTCAGTCAGTCAGTCAGTCAGTCAGTCAGTCAGTCAGTCTCTTAAACACACACTCAGATATAGTCACAAGGGTGCATATGAAATGGTTGCTATAGGGTGGAGGAGTCTCATACCAGAGTTTTGAATCCTATTTCCCAGGATTCAGGCGACATGGAGCTTAAGTTCTAGAGGTTCCTCAAGGGTGCTCTAAGGGCCATTTCTCCCGTCCTTTAGCTTGTCTGGCTCTAATCTCTTCTTAGTACCTTGTGATATCCTGGGTGAGACCTCTTACTCATTTCCTTTGCAAATTTGACCACAGGATGAGACAGGAAACTTTGGGGTGAGAGTCCAAAGGAGCTTGTCAGGCCTGAGACTGCAGCCTCCATATTCAATGGCTCTGGGAGGTCATTTTGCCCCATTATTTGCTTCTGAGTACTAGGAAGGGCTGGGTTTGAGAAACTCTGAAATCATTTCATGATGGGTCAGAAGGGCAGGCTTAGTTTTATTTTATTTTTTATTCATTTTTTTAAATGTATTTAGTACAGTGTCTACAGGGTCTTACTACGTAGATTGGACTCCTAGTGATCTTCCTGTTTTCAGCCTCCTAAGAGCTGGGATTATAGGCATGTACCGCCATGCTCAGCAAGCCCTGGGAGCAGGGCCAGCATGGCTTGTGCTGGGGATTGAACCCTGGCCTTGCGCTCTGCCTCATCAGGCACTTTAGTCCACTGAGCTGTCTGGCTGGCCCTAGAAGGGCAGGCTTTGGAGACAAAGTGTTGGGCGATAAAATACATTACCCCAGATATATTACTTGTTAACTATTTTGAACAAATTATTTATCAAAACCTTATTTCCCATACATGAAATGAAAAAAAAAAATAGCACATAGTTCATAGGATATTTTTGAGACTCAATTGAGACAATATGTGTAACTTGCTTAGGACAAAATGGCACCTATTGTCACTCTTGTCCCATCCAAACTCTTTTAAGAGAATTTAATCAACAAATTAAATATTTGTTGAACATCTGCTATTTCACTAGTATGGTTTAAGTCTGTGATTATTCTCCTGTGGTGCTAAC